TGAACAAAGCACTCCATGACTCTCTGTGAAGAAAATTTCTGACAGTGCAGATATTTTAGGAAACAAGCAGAAATATTTCGAGGATACTACCACCAGCCAGGCACTCATATTATCCAAGAGTTCAGCACTTTCAATATGTGATGAAATGTTCCAAAAGTACTCTTTTTGCAACCACATGTACAGAATGGGATGCATTCTCCTTAAACAGAGGACACTATATTTGTATAAAATAGTGTTAAGACAGTCTCAATCCTAGCCCACCATAATTACAGTAAAAGAAAAACAACGTGTGGTTCTGTAGATAAAGTTACCAGGGAAGTGGAAAAAGAGTTATTGTTAGTATATAGAGCTCTGCCAAGAAATTATAGCTAACAAGAAATTAAGTAGAATTTAATAAAAGGCTCAATAAAAGTGACTATATTGCACATCAATATATTGCAAAAACTTTTAATAGTGAAACTATGACTTATTTGTGACTCTGGCTTATTATGTAGGTTATGAAGCTGTTTTCTTAGTGCAGAAAGAATGTAGAACAAACATTCTATGTTCTACAAAAGCTTGGGTTCTATTAAAAAATTTTGTCAATCAGAAATGGAGTATCAGAGGAAGAACAACTGTAACAAGTCTTATTATCTTCTGAAAAACCAAGGCATCACAGATAACATATTTGTCTAACAATATAATCATACGTTCATGTTCAGCATGTATGATCAGCAGTAACATTAGCCAGCCAAGCCCCAGATTTGAACAGCACTTTAGTACCCACCTTTTCATTGAGTTGGCAAACAGTCACAGTGAGTGAAGTATTCACTACATGGAGAGATGGCCAAAATTGGAATTTCTGTTCTGCAGGAAACTCTGACCCTTCAAAATGTGACAATGCTCTAGAAAGAATGTCACTACTTCAGAATTTCCCATTAAACAAATGGCTTGAAGAAAAGAGATTCAGGAATCTAAAACAAAAGCACTTTGGTAATGACAAAACAATTTATTTTTATATGATTAATGGCTTTAGTTTGATATGGTAAAAAGCTTTGCATCAATTGTATCTAAATGCTGTCTAAAACATCTAGATTACATTTGACGTCATCACAGTAACGCGGTTAACAATATATAATGTAAAAGGACAAAATAAAGAACTGGAATTACTAAACCAGAAGATTTTTATGGAACTGAAACAATTATTTCTGACAGTTCTCCATGGCTAACTCCACTGTATCTGTTATAAAATCTTAACATATGACTACCCTTCATTCACCAGTAATAAGTAGAACAGTCTTCCCTTTTCCTGCCCCAAAACAACTTGACTGAAAAATGTGATTAAGTCTGGCCTTTCTGAAGTGAGTGGGAGTTCTGGCATTGACATCAATTAAGTCAGAACTTTTTTCACTGATTTCAGAAGGACTATTTGTGTACTTGAAAACATGCAAACATAAATCTTGTATTGATCTGGAACCTTAACAACAAAACTTCAAAGGAAATGATCCCAGCTAAGAGCATAGAGCAAGACACTAAAACATAGTGCATAGACTCTCAAAAAAGTAAAAGCTTTGTCTAGCCAGATTCTGAGACCATTTTCCATTAATTTACATCATCTGGAAAAACAGCAAAAATAGACTCTTTCAAAATCAGTATGACCAGTCCATCAATTTTAAAGCATCTTCAACCACAGGTAAAGAGTGACACTATTTTTATCATACACTTAGAAAAAAATCATTACTGTTACTGCATTATTAAAATCTGCATATTTATAAATAAGGTAGTGATTTCCGACATGAAGAAGATACTGTTCCCAACAGTCAATATAATAAAACTAAACCACGTAGTAAGATATACAAGAAGAGAATTCACCAAATGTGGGTAAATACGCCTCAGGCACCATCTATTATGTGCACATCTGCCCACAGAGCAGATTGCTATCATCTAGCGCTATCAAAAGGCTCTATGTATTTCTCAGGAAACAAGCACAAACACTCTCAATAAATCATGGTGCTAAATATATGTTCCTCTGTCAGTAAGACATCGTCTTCCATCTTGGTTATGCCTGAGAGAAAGTGTTTCTTTTTTTTTTTTTTTTCTCTTTTTGTGAGTTCAGATAAAAAAAACAGTTGAGCCTCTTCTTCCCCTGATCCCTTGAGCATGTGCTTTAGTACAGACTTAAAAAGGCTTGTGGGACATTTTGGTCATGGTACAGGCAGGGCCTCACTGCCAAGCTCATTGCTTGCCACTTTTCTGATGATACCTAGGAGACAAATTTCTTTGGATGTCCACTGGCCATTAAATTAAAGATCCTTACAGCATTTTTGGCCAGTATAGTCTAAAGCATATCCCCACTGCTGCAGCTGATGAAAGAATAACAAACATCTTCATCTGCCTCCAAAATCAGCTGGTGCAAAGTAAAAGGTGTCTTAATTTCCAACAATAGAGAAGCATATTTAAGAGAAAGTAGAAAACAATATTTCAAGCACGAATCATGCAACACAAATTATTACAAAATTGCATTGAAATTTTCAGAATGATCACTTCAAAGCCTCTTTGTTTTTTTTAAATCAATGTTTATTTTTGGTACATTAACTCAGTAGTTTTAGTATCGGTAGCTAGAATGCATACTTTAATCTAAACTTCGTAAGAATATTAGCCAGAGCTTTGCAACTTCTTTCATTCAAACAGATGACTCTGTTTAATATGGCAGTAGAACCTTGTTTATTTTCCAAAATAATTTTGCAAAGGAAGTGGATTACTCTGAGGATAATTACTGTGATAGGGAGGGTTTTTTTAATCTCGATGTCATTATTTGAATCTCACGAGGTTAAATTTGTTATGTTACGTAACCTTGGGCACCAAATGGAATTTGAACCCTTCTTCCAAGTACAGCAATACAGTAGGAAACAAAGCTGTGCCACGAAAAATAGTTCTACCCAAAGAAAATAGTTCTGCCAACCCTATTAAAACTGGCCAGAGTGAATGAACTGTGTTCCCAGAGCAAATACACCACAGAGACAGAAAACAAGCAACTTAAGACTGTGGGAATCAGGCCTGTGGGCAGAAAGATGAATACAGCAGGCCTGTTCATATAAGGATCAAGAATATGCTTCCAGAATGATCTTAGTTCTCTCCAGATTGATATGCTTCCAGAATGATCTTAGTTCTCTCCAGATTGGTTGTCATTTCCAGCATTATTTTTCATATTCCTAATCCCAGTTTGTGATTGGAACTCTGCCTTCAGATCAATCCCCAGATCTTCCAGATATATACTGTTGTACCCACCCATTTTCACCTTTTGTGGTTGACCCTGTACTGTGTGTTTGCCTTTTGCTGTTGGTTATCTTGCCATTAAAACAATTTTATTTTTCGGGTCACCCAATGGTGCCTGTCCCTTTTCCTTGCCACACTACTCCTGGCTGGCCCAGGTCTGAGGTCATGGAAGCCAACAAACAACAAGGAGCAAACAGGCATCCACTGAAATGCGAGGCTAAGGACCTCTCTGTGCTGACAGATATGATGAACCATTTTGACAATGCAATTCCACTGAGATTCTGTAATCCCCATTTAAGTATTGATAGATATTGTTAGTGAATTTTCCACATGTTTTAAATGTAGGAATGATCAAGCACCTTGCCCTATCAATGCAAATTTTTACCTATGTTTATCAATTATGTCTATCGACAGTAAAAGCATGTAAGCTGTTTAACGGTGATGAAAATTTATGGTCTGTAGAATTCTGTAGAATGTGTGAAAGGTTCACTAGAAACTTGTGGCTAATGGCCAGAAGTCAACATTACCAGAAGCATAAAACTAGAGTAACTGCAAGAATGATTCCAGGCCAATTAAGGTTCAGTAAACATTCAGCATCTGTGGGTTCCTCACGGTTTTTATTAAACCAAAATGAAAGGCTTATGCACATAATTCTGTACTGTTTTTTCCTTTATGCTTAAAATAAGAAGTGTCTCCCTAAAGGTCTCCCAAGGTCTGAATCTTTCACTGCATTTAATCACTTTTGCTGTCTTTCCTTCTTCTTTGCAGCAATTTTGCCTGAGCACTCCTGGGACTGGTGTTGCATTACAGATTCATCAATGATTTGCTGCTTACTCTACATTATCCCACAAGTGCTGAGGCAAACATTTCCTTGCCAGGATCAAATGATCCTCTATATTCGCCTGCAGTTTAAAATCTTGTTAATGTTGACACTTCTGACGAAAGCTCCACATTGACACTGGAATGTGTGAAACCTGCAGGCTTTGGTGACTGCCACATAAACAGGTACCCAGGGCATGAAGTTTTTTCTAGGTCCTCTATTTGCCCACAGGGACATAATCAATTTAGGCAACATCTTTACCAGAAACAATGTCAAATAGAACAGCTAAAACAGCCTCTCTGTCTGGAGGTGATGTTGCTGATGGGTGACAGACAGACTGCTTGCTATCCTATGTTGCTAAACTAGCGTGTCTGAGGATTTTGCTCTAAAGTCAATTAACTTTAATGGAAAGACTCCAAATTGCTTCAATGATCTTTGGACCAAGCTCAATAAGAACTAATTAGATCTCCATTCCAAAGGTTAGTTGTCAGAATTATTAATGGATTTTTGTTTCTTTGTTTTTTAATATTGGACAAGAGGGTCTTTTTTAATTATTTAGAGGAACTGACATAATTTGGAAAGTCATAAGTTGCAAATACAGGTGCCAGTATTAAAAATTTAATGTCAGGTAAACAGACAAGTAAAAAATTTTACACACTGTGCAAATGAGGTCCACTTCATGGGGACAAAGGAAACACAAACTAAAGTTAGTGACACCTGTAATTTAGTCCTGTGGTATTTACTATATTCCACAGGGTGACCAAATCTTGCATGTGTTTTACATGAGCACAACTAGGTTTACTGACTATAGCCCGCAGTTCTGATGACAAAATCTAGGACCAGGGCTGGACTTTTCAGAACTCATCTCACTCTCTCTGCTGAAAACTCTTGACACAGGAAAAGATTATATGTCTGAAAAACTTACCAGAGGAGAGAACATACTTGAAGAAAGACTGTGATGAAGGTTCCTCCTGTGGGAGTGATACTACAGCAAATGCCTGAACAGTCTTGGCACTTTCTACAATTTATTTATTCTGTCAGCAGATCATCACCTGCAAATCAAATTAAGAAATGTTCAAAATCTGAAAGTCACAAATTAGACCAAAGTCATTTATGTCATGATTTTCATCCTACTTTTCCTTTCTTTCTTTTCCTGGAAATTGTAGGAAATACTTGAAGCTCAAAGTACAATAAATATAATCTAATCAAATTGCTTTTACTTCATACAAGACAGGAAACAGAGATGTAGTTCTTCACTACAAATTGGTAAGAAAACAAAATTATTTAACTTGAAGTGCAGTGTTCAAAAAAAGATCTAAATTCAAACTTTGGCTACTAGAGTCCAGTTCTGTCTGGCACTGACAAAATGTCATTTTCTGGAAGAACAAGGTCTGCACTTTTGGTGCTGAGCTGTGAAAACCTACAGGGAGGTTTCGGAGGGGAGGTTTCGGGGAGGGGAGGGTTCACACCCTCACATGATGCATACAAAGGCAGAGGCCCATAAAACTCTTCCTGTGGACAGAGACTACCCTTCTTCTCCTGATAGAGACTAAACGCCCTGAAATGCAAGGGAGTAAAGGAGGAGGGTTGCTCCCCTCTCCTCCATCTCCCATCCACCTTGCAGTCAGTCACCAAAGGAATAAGTTAAAATGAATTCTGGCACAGAGGTTTCCTACAGGCTTCCCCACCTGCCCCTTGCCAGCTGAAACCTGAACCTGCTCTGTACCTGCTCCAAGTCAAGGTCACTCACAGTCTTAAAGCAGATGAGACACTATTACAATCATGATGTGCAGGAGGTTACCTGGTGGAAGTCAGGGTGGGCACAGGAATATGCACACACATAACTTGTTCTGTGTTTAGACACAAACCCTTGGCAACCAGGTTTGGTCTGAAGTGTTGGGTTGAGGGCTGGGCTGCAGTTCACGGTTTCTTGCAGAGATTTAGCTTGACTGTGCAGCTCTGGTGTTTAGAAGCAGTGACACTTAACTTCAGCTGGAGACAATGAAGATGTGGGCAAACAGCCTTTCTGAAAATCAGTTTCTCAATAGTCACAGAGTCATAGAAGCATAGAATGGTTAGGGTTGGAAGGGACCTTAAAAATCAAGTTCCAATCCCTCTGACATGGGCAGAGACATCTTCCACTAGACAAGGTTTCTCTAAACCCCATCTAACCGGGCTTTGAACATTTCCAGGGATGGGGCATTCAAAACTTCTCCGGGCAACGTCTTGTAATAGCACTGAGCAACAGTTACTCAGATTTTGAATTAACAGACAGACAATTAAAATATTTTGGATTAACATTCAGAAAAATTGGAAGAGCTTAGATATCCTACATCCCTGTGCCAAGCCCAGACTAAAGTTTCAATTAGGATGTGTAAGCATCTTCGCAACCTATGTGAAAAATAATAACAAAACTGGCATTAATCTGGTCCAGTTAATCAGAATGATCCATAATGTCGAAGTTTTTAACAAGCTGCTGCCCAACATTTTTGACATGTTTTAAAACAAGTCATCCTGATCAGCTCTGTAGAGGCAAGTGCTTCTAAACTTAATGACTCTCCAAAGAGGAGAAGGCATAAAGATTTAGCGAGTCAGTAGACATGACTGCACAGACCTCTGCTGCCAGCTTGGAAATGACAAATGATTTGTTAATAGAGAAGCTTTGTTTTTGTATTATTTTTTGCCAATGAAGTGAAAACAGAGCATTGATTAAGCAATCCAAGCTGAGAAAATTCCATCCAAATTGGATGAGAGCTTTCAGACCAGCAGCTTTAGACCAGGTTTCAAGGCTTTGAAATACAACTTCTGCTTGCTGCTCGATGCTTAAAGATACCTATCCTGGAGCCACAGACAGTAATTGATGTCAAGCTGACACTGTAGTTCACAGATGAATTTCAGTTGTGTGGGCCATGCCACATGCACAACACTTGTGTGAAAAAATGCTTTCTGTCTCAAATGCTACGAACTGAGAGAAAGGATTAATAGACACATCAACAAAAAGTTCTCTGCACAAATAGAGTATGGCTGAAGAATACCAATAGCCCAACATGCTCCTGACTCAAAATCAGCCTTCTCTTCCACCTGTCAGATAAAATCATTTCTACAGAAATTCAGACTGAGCCTTTCACTCACAATATTAGGTTTCTGCACAGCCAAAATTCTAAATTCATACCCTGTGTAATAATTTTATGGAAGTCACCCTATGTATTCAACAGTAAATAAAAACCAGGTGTCTAGAGGTAATTAAAAATATTTGCAAGTTTTTTTCCTCTTGCACAAAAGAATTAAATTTTCCAAGGGAGATTTAAATACAAGCTTTGGCACTCACAGATATTAAAGTTTGAGTGACTCATATTCTCATTCCCTTGTGTAGCTACCTTACTAGACTGTATTTCCCTCAATTCATCACAGAATAGGCTATGTCCACAGCCATAAAGCAGAGATAGTGGCATGTCATGGAACACTAGGTCCAAACAGGAAAACAGGCTCCTAAGTAGAACTGGAGCATCTAAATTGTAATACTCAGAAGGCATTACGGAGCCTTATTTAAATTAAAGAATGTATAAATTTTTAAGTTGACTATTTGGTGTCTGGGGGGGGGGGGGGGGGGGAAAATATGCCCTTTCCTACAAATTCCCTAGCATACCCATAGAAAACTGCTGCAATGAAAAATTTTCACCTTAATCAGGTCAGTTTGTCTGGATGACTGCTGGGCAAACAGCTATGCCATTCTATTTGTATAGCAGCTCTTGCTCCAGAGCTAGGAAAAATCAACATAGACCTATAAGCCCAAGTCAAAAATATGCTTTATTTTTAACAGATAAGCATTGAAAGAAATTGTATATTTTTTTTTAAACTAGTGATCTGTATATTTTACATATTCAAAAATTAAACCAGTTATTTTTGTGTCTCTGGATTTTAAATCAGTACCCATCATTTTATAGGCTGGTAACAAACGGATTGTTCTTGATACAGCAGAATTGTTTTCCTGAAAAGTTCATGCAGGACTAAAAATCCTTAGGCTAAGATCCTATTTTCTGAAAATCTTGCCCAGAAAACAAGCACAGATACAGGAAGCAGCAGATTTCCCTTACCATGATTTATCAACGCTATTTAACTTATTATCTTTACATTCTTGATTGAAAAGTTCCTAATTGTTTAAATGATACCTTCTTCCCTGAAAAAAAAAAACCTCAAAATAATCAGAATAAGAGAACAAAAATTTGTGTTAATTGTTTTAGAAAAGAAACTGAGGGAAAAACATTATTGGTGATAAAATGATTTGGATTTTTTGTTGCTATTGAAATGAATTACTGATTTGTTGGGTGAGTAACTGCAACACTGGTGCCAGGGGAGACCTTCTTATGGGACTCTTTGCAACACTGTAATTGTTGTTGTAATGTACTGTACCTGTAATTTTATTCATAGTCTCAGTACCAGCTTGATCAGATTTTCCTTGAAATTTCTTAATATAACATTATGCACTTAACGACTTCTATGAGATCTGTTGTTCTTCTTTTTGTAAATCATAGAATCATAGAATGAATCATAGAATGGTTTGTGTTAGGAGGGATGTTAAAGATCATCTAGTCCCAACCCCCCAACCCCACTTGCCCTGAACAGGCTCAGGTCTCACTAGAGAAGGCCACTGAAGGCCCTGAACACTGCCAGGTTTGCACCTCCCTGCACAACCTGTTCCAGTGTCTCACCACCCTGACAGTAAGGAATTTCTTCATAATTACAGTTACACTAAGAACTCTTTCTTTCTAAATAGAGTACATTTCACTGCCTGAGAGAGATGTAATAGCTCTGTACATACATGAAATGACACACTTCAAAACAGAATTCTGTTTCCATTTCTTTCCTATGACCCAGGATCCTGCTCTGATGTGAAGATGACATAGCAGGTAAGTACTCAAATACATACAAATCCTACATACATAGGATTCCTCACTAACCTCCCCCATATCTTTCTGACACACAGAAGTGACATTCCAGCTGGCTTTTATCAGCCAGAATTAGATTCACTGATGCTGCTGAAGTAAATGCATGTAGTTGTACTTGAAAGAGATTTGAAGAAGATGTTTTTAATTCTCACAGTAAAAAGTTACACTATTCAAAGTAGTTGTGTCCATTAAAAACCAAATATTCTTTTTTTCATTAACTTGGTATTTTAAACATATTTCATAATTTATTTGTAGTGGAAAAAGGATTTATAAGTAGAAACCACAGGAGAGTCACAATTCAGGTCACATTTGTGCAGCTCACTAGCTAATCTGAAAATCTAAATCTACTGAGACTTTCTGATATCTTCTCAGAACTGTGTGTCATATTACTTATGAATAGACTCAATTCAAAAGAAAGCTTTTAAAACACAAAAAAATATTTTCTGCATTGTCATCTACTTATTTGCTCAGTCTGTTCATCTCTTTTGCTCAATATTTGAAAATTAACAGACAAATGGGTTTTGACCCATCCACTGCCTCCTCCCTGTAACAGATTAATGGCTAATACATAATCCCACTGGATTGGCTATAAAATGCAATGGCTGCAGAAGAGAACATACCACACTTTCTCCTTTTATCAATTACACTATGTATGGTGACAGATTATTAAAGGAAGATGAATGAAATTTTGTTTTCTTTCATACCCAGGATCCTACTGAAATTTCCTACTCCTACTAATAACTGTAGTGGAAAATAGGAAAAAACCTTCCTGCAGCTGAGAGATTGAGAAATCAAGGGGATTAAGTGCAGCTACTGGTTGTGACCCAGATGAGTGACACTGGCTTCTTTCCCACCTTTCACAGTAACCATGAAAATTATGTTTGCTTCCTTTGGTGCTGAATGTATTTTACATATTTCAGTTGCAAGCTCTTTGGGGCACAGTCAGATGATAAATATGTTTTTTTACTGTTAGAGCAACATAGCCATGACACATCTTGAGACAAAAATCCAAGTAACGAGTACCAAGGATATTTTTCCACGCAACCATTTAGTTCTGTGAAAGACCATTTTCCCAAGCACTCAGAACAGTACTTGTACATTTGCAA